AGGATAGATTAGCCGAGTTGTCTTGTTCGAAAAATGCCATAGCAACCGTGGGCTTTGCGAATTTTGTTGTCGCATCTGAATCTGCTTCATCGGCTCAATCACGATACCGTGACGGCGCAGGACCAGATTCTAGCGAGTCTTTGGCTCTGTATCGCGCAATGAGGGACAAGAGACAGGCGACCGCCGTCTTGCAATTCGAGTGAGGCTCGATGATTTTCCCATAGAATTTGAGGCATCGGCGTCGATTGAGAATGAAGGAGTTTGGCCCTGAGACCCTGCAGAGCCCCTGGCTTCGGATGGGCTCATCGACCGAAGCGACACAGGCTACGAACACAAGAACCCCTGGAGCGAAAGACGGGATCGCACCATCAAAGAATGCGCACCGAGCGGCACGCGCTGCCGGAACAAAACAGCACGCCCAAAATTCCATCGCAGTGTCCTTTTGCGTGCCTACTTTTGGTCCAGGGTTGAGCCAAGGAGGCGCAGCAGCAATGGACCTCCCAGCCTTGCTCCTTTGTCACAAAAGGCCTCGCCGAACCCTCTTGAGTGAGTCAAGAGACAGAGCGAGCGCATGGGTCTGTCGATGGTTGCCAAAGATCGGAACCAGCGTTGATGACGCGGACAGCATCAAATATCTTGTCTGTTGCCTCACGGACTACAAAGAAAAACTGTCGTGCTGAAAAGAAAAGAGCCATGAGCTTCTGGCAGGCTTCTACTACGGAAGTGCCCGATCGGGGACAAGGTGCTTGCGACCTCAGTGACGGCCCCTCGTAGCGCCGATCAAGCCATACGACGCTAGGGTGAGGCGTCCTTCAATGCACGTTGGCATCGGCATGCAGGCTCTTCAAAGGAGCGAGGGGCTCATAGCCCAGGTCCCGAGCGTGCTATCCCAAGATGTTGATCGCTGTCGCTATGACGGCGCTTAAACGTCTTGATATGCCAAGACCTCGAGTCGGATTGCGGAACCTCGCAAACATCCAATGGGTGACAGTGCGAGCCGCTCGTTGGGCCCCCGCCAGCAAATTACTCGACACGGGACCGTCCGGCATCGATCAGATCGCAGCCACCCACGATTCCAATTCACCTTGGTCCATGGACATCACGACCGATATTAGCCTAATCCTGCATTGCGGCCCAAAGGCGGGTTTTACAACAAAAGTGGGACGACAAAAAAAATCATGCCAATGTCATCTCCGGGTCTTTATCTCGGCACGCGCAAAAGACATGGGACCGCCTGGGAATGTTTTGTGGGCCAGAGGGCTTGGTGCGGCAATCTGGACCCCAGAAATTTGCTCCACCGATGATCTCATCATATCGCCGCCGGCAACGAGATCGCTGCAGAAGACGACGCGATTGAAGTCGCCATGGCTTGAGGCCGAGTGCCTCGTGAATTGCTTTGATCGCTGCGCCCAGCAAATCCCAGAGGACGCCCTCAAAGCTTGATGGATGTTTGTCGGGGCGTGGAGGTCAAAGTCAAAGACAACAATGTTCTCCAAGATCAGGACGCATAATTTGTAAAATTTTGACCTCGAGTGTGGAGATCTGCGGGACGCCAGCGACCCAAGTGAGATCAAGAGGCATGTTTGACTCAAAACATGAGCTTGGTTCGAGGTCTGAACCCTCAAGAGAGGCGACTGCCCTGATGGAATTGGTCGTCAACGCCGGGAAATGGACAATCTTGCCCGTCTTGGGAGCCTCTTGCGTCAACATTGCCCCTTTCTTGACCAAAGGCTGCTGTCATGGCACGGCGTCAGATTTTTTCACTGGCAATCTTCCTTGCAGCAACAATGCGGTGGACTACTCCACTCTCAGTGCTTCTGCGGCAGCCTTTCAGCAGCTCCATGTTCTGCGGGCATGCATCTTGGATCCGCTGCTCCGCAAACTTCACCAACACCCTCCCATCTGCGGTGCATGTGTGCGATGGTGCAGCAGTGGTCTCTCTTGCAAGCTGCTTGCAGTCTGCAAGCAAGGACAAGAGCACGCTCGACTGGCTCTTCAAGTTGATCACAATCAAGGAGCATCTGTTGTGGGATTATGGCATTCAGATCCATCAAAAGTCCTCAACAACATACTACTCTTGCCCGCTGATGAAGACGCCAGCGTTGCGAGCAGGTGCTCATGCGCAACTCACAACGGCACCATCGCTCACCAATCTGGACCTGACCTTGGAGCATTTCCGCAAGGCAGAGGGCAAAGAATTGATCACACCAGTCAAGGCTGTGAGCAGGGCAATTCCGGATGTAAAGTTTGGCGGGATGGGCAGCATACCCACAGATCTTCAAGATCGCAACGCTGCTCAAGCGCATGAGTACCTTGTGGACTTATTGAGCCGCGTGGCAGAGGAGACGCCGTCGTAGCGAGTGCATAGCAATGTCCTTGATGTACTCGCTTGCAGTTCTCCATGTGCGATGTCGTCTTCACATTTAGAGATCTCCTCATGACACCACCGCGTGCGCTCGCTGCCTCATCATGGTCAGG